GCAACGAACGCCTGAACCCTCCGAAGATTGCGCACATCCTGCAAGGCTGCGAACTCCTTGCTACAGCCCCCATCCCACGCACACCCGCTCGAGGAGCGTGCACGTCCCGCGCCCCCAGGCGCTGCCCCCAAGCGCTCCAGCCCCCCCCCCCAAGCCACAATCCTTCGTTGAAAACGGCGGAGACGCACCCCGAGCTTGCAAGATGACCCGCGCAGGCAAAACCAAGGACACCAAGGCGGCCCAAGATGCCCTGAAGACGGCCAGAGGGGCCGAACGTCGACTCAAGACGGCCCAGGATGCCTCCGAGCGGGCCCAACGTGGCCGCAACAGGACCTCCAACGGGGTCGGGTACCGTTCGGCAGAGCTGGCGGGCGCGCGATCGCTGCTGGCTGACCTCGACGCGTGCGCACGCGGCGCCCACGCGGTCCCATCTGATCGAAGCCACTACTAACATCATGTTTGATGGGCGTGCTTTCCACCACCACCACCACCACCACCACCACCACCACCACCATACGTTGGAGGGGAAGGGGCTCCTCCTCCTCCTCCTCCTCCTACTCCTCCTCCTCCTCCTCCTCCGCCCCCTCCTCTTCCTCCGCCCCCTCGTCGTCCTCCTCCTCCTCCTGCCCCCCGTCGAACTTATGGTGGTGGTGGTGGAAAACAGGTCCATCCATATTCCCGTTTACGAAAGTGCAGTCAATGCGCACGCCGACGCTCCTGTTCAGGAGGCTTCTTCTTGCACAACGCTGACCTCAATGTTCCACGTGTGCTCAAAGAGCACTGTCTTGGACGTGCTACAGCCCGTGGTTGTTTTGAAGAGCTTGACAGGCGCGCGGGGGGGGGGGGGGCGATGGCCCCATATGGTAATACTACGTGAGACGGGCACACTGGGAACTTTCGAGTCAGATCAAAGCAAGGGCTCCGCACACTCCAATTTGAAAAGGATGAGGGGAGGGAAGTCGATATCAGCAATGGATGCTAGGGTGAACAAGTATGGAAAACCCTTACGCACAGGGAGGCTCGTGAAGCCCAGCCTCGGAAATGTGATGAAGTCTTGTAGCCTTTCGAACAGGGAACACCTGTGATGCACCCTACGAGGTGCAATATACGAGGTGCAATAAGTTTGGCGAACTGCAGGGGCCCTGGGACACACACACACACACACACACACACACCCACACACACACATACACACAAATAACCGCATTCCCCATATTTCCCATATTTTCTCGGCTTTTGTCTTCCCCCCCCCCCCATATTTTTCCACATTTTCTTGGGAATCGACGATTCATTGTGTCTGTGTGTTGTTTCTCCTCCTGACGAACTTGAGCTCGCCCCCTCATGCTCGAGCAACGATCCCACCCTCCACGCAGCAACTTGTCCGCAAAACGTCCAGAGGCCGCGAGCGCAGTCACCCATCGGAAGTTTCTGTTGCGCCTGGCAGGCGCAGTGCCGCAGGGATGGGCGCCGTGCTGCCAGGTTGCGGCGCTTCGGGTGTTCAGTGGGAGCCAGATGTCATACAGTCGGACTTGATTAGAGAGGACACGCGATAGGACACAAGACCCTTCCGAGGGCCACGTTGCCACAGAACTGCAGGAGGCATGGGTCGCAAGACACAGGACACGAGGGTACCCTTGATCTGGCAAGGTCGACCTACTAATCCGGGCCGCCTGTATACAAGGTGCGATAAGATTGGAAAACTTGAGGTCGCCCCCTATTGCTCGAGCAACGATCCCACCCTCCACGCAGCAACTTGTCGGTAAAACATCTGGAGGTCGCGAACGCAGTCACCCATCGGAAGTTTCTGTTGCGCCTGGCAGGCGCAGTGCCGCAGGGATGGGCGCCGTGCTGCCAGGTTGCGGCACTTCGGGTGTTCAGTGGGAGCCGGATGTCATACAGTCGGACTTGATTGGAGAGGACACGCGATAGGACACAAACACTTCCGAGGGCCACATTGCCACAGAACTGCAGGAGGCATGGGTCGCAAGACACAAGACACGAGGGTCAAGACACGTGTTAGATGAGTTTGGCTTTAAACTTGTGGATGACATCACAATGGACTCTAACAATCCGAATTACCATTGATTTAAATATGTGTTTAACATGTGGAAAACATGTTCTAAACACGTTTCAAGCATCTGTTTTACATGTTTAAAACATGTTTGAAACATGTTTTAGGCATCTGGAATTATCTGGCAGCATGCTCCCTCTCCATTGATCGCCCTTCACAACTGTAAACTCAGTCAACGCCAATGGGGCAATGGGTGTGGGACAAGGTCGGCGCGCGCGCGCTCGCGGCCCGCAGGGTACCATTTCACAGGGATGGCGGGGAGGGCAGAGACGTGGAGCAGAACTGTCTTGACGCTGCAAGTTGGATGGTTTTTGACATGCGATTTCAGCGAGCGAGCTCGATCCTGAAAACCACAATGTTGTGTATCGAGCTCAATGGAAAGTATTTGAATGCAGATGGATTTTTATCATTTCGACGTGCGCTCGCGCGCGTGGCCAACATCGTATTATTTGAAACGGAATCGATGGAAATGCACTTGAAAGATCACATCGGGCGATGCGCATCCGTCAGGCTGGTAGAGCCTGATCTTGTCTAGAAGAAGTGGTGCAAGTGTGGATGCACGCCGGTCGGAAGAAGTGGGTAGAAACATGAGGTAGGAAGGCAGACAAAGTAGATTGGGCTCGGGGGGCCGCCCAAAGAATAACAAGCAAAAGCCATACCATATCGATCATTGAAGTAGGAAGGCGCTTGAAGTAGATTGGGTTCTGGAAATCCACAAATACCTACTTCGGCGGTGGACAAACCTCCCTGTAGTAAACCTCCCCTCAGTCGGAACGGCCTGGGACCGAAACCGACGGACCTGGAACCGCAAAGATGACGGCCGCGACGCCCTCCCGCGAACCGAAGACGGCCAATTCCTTAATCGACGTGTCAGGGTAGGAGGTCTATCCACCTCCGACTACTTTCATCAACCGATGGGTTTGTGTGGTGCGTGCTGCGCGGTTCAGTATGCGCGTGTATCTGGCAACGCCGGGCATCTTGCATAACCATAAAAGTCGAAAAAATGTTTCAGTTTTTTGTTGCGTAAAAACAACAAAAACAAACAGAGATACAAACAAACAGACAAACAAAAAGCTACTACTTTCAACGACCGATGGGTTTATGCGGTGCGTGCTGCGCGGTTCAATATTCGGGAGCGGCAAAGAGGGGGGTGTCGAAGAGGGGGGTGTGCAAATCATGACCGGCGGCATGTGCGCGGCCCAGCGGGCGGGCCAGGGACGTAATGAAATAAGAAGAGGCGCCATGAAATCTGAGAAATATCATGGCCCCCGCCATGATATCCACCCCCCCCTAGTCATCACCCTCGTCTTTTCCGCCCCCGAAATATCTGCGTGCACCTCGCAGCGCTGGGCGGCGCACGGGGCGGCCACGGGCGGCGACCTCGGCCGGGAGCGCCCCGGAGGCGCCCGGCCCGCGCGCGAGGCGGCCACGGAAGGGAGGCCACGGGGCGGCCACGGCCGACGGCGACCAGTGACAGTCAACCAGTATACTCCAGAATTCGTAATAAAAGGGAGGGGGTCTGGACCCTCCAAGACAAGCCATTTCAGACCTCCCCCGTGGGAGAACCCTCCAAAACATCGTCCCCAAACCCCCCAGGCCCTCCAAAATAGCCTGGAAGAGACCCCCCCCCGAAATGAGACTCCCCTCCTTTTATTACGAAATCTGGAGTATACGGCAGGTCCGTGTCGTGCCGACTTCGGCATTGGTTCCTGACACCGCGGGGATCGTTCAGCCTTGAACGATCGGCCGTTTCCGAAGCGTCCAAATCGTTCCGCATCGAACGATTCGGGGTCGCACGCGGCGTTCAAAGTTGAACGCCGCTGGCGGGGTCGCCGCGGGTCGACACGATACGAACCTACCGTAGACAGGATGCGCGATGAGGATGCAAAGGGCCTTGGACGCCCATTTCGAAGCTCTTCGAGCAAGGCGTTGGGAGGCAGCTGCTGGGAGGTGCTCGCCGGGAAGCTTGCGGAGGATTGAGCCCCATTGGGGGGCTGTTACGCCGGAGAGGGCCTCGGACCAAGCAGGACTAAGCAGGATTAAGCGGGATTAAGCGGGATTAAGTCGGATTAAGCGAGATTAAGCGGCCACGGCCGACGGCGACCAGGTACAGTTAACCAGTATAGTAAGTTAGGAGGCAACTACTGGAAGATCTTCGTCGGAAGGATTAAGGAGGATAAAGCCCCACTGGGGGGCTATTACGCCAGAGTGGGCCTCGGATCAAGCGGGATTAAGCGGGATTAAGCGGGATTAAGCCGGATTAAGCGGGATCAAGCTGGATTAAACTGGATTTCGGACCAGGGCGAAAACAGAATGTGACCTCCCAGGAGTTGCATCGAACTTGGACGCCCAGTTCGAAGCTTTTCGAGCAGGGCGCGGCCAACGCAAGTGGCCAAGGACGGACCGAGGAGGCAAGGGGATGCAAGGGTACCCTTGAGAAAGTTGCCCATCCTCACTATGCACGCGCGGACTGAAAAGACCCAGAAAACAAAGCCACTTGCACGGAGCAGGAGCAAAAAACCCAGTGCAAGCGCAACCTGTGCAGCAGGTGCCGCCAAGCGCGCGCGCGAGGCAGAGAAAGAGAGGCATCACAAAAGGACCCAGGAGTGGCCACAGACCAGCGCAATCCTCAGAAAACAGTGCGTGTGCGTGTGTGTGTGTGTGTAAGTGTAAGTGTGTTCGATTGCCCGCCTTTGCAGCAACACCAAAAAGGTATGAACACGAGCATTCGAAGGCCCGCGCGGACTCGTTGGATCGGCGCTGGGCCCCCCTGGTCCCCCCTGGTCCCGAGCCGATCCTCCAAGAAACCCGCACGGACCTTCGAAAATATATGACCACGCCGTCTGTTTCTCTCCGAGTCTCTCCTGCCAGAGCCGGCTGCAGGCATGACCACAGATTCTCGGCGGATGTGGCACCACCCCAATGAATCAGTGTCCCGGTCACGATCACGGGCACGGTCACCAGCACCTCTTCCGGACAGAAACACAAAGGAGGAGGAGGAGGAGGAGGAGGAGGAGGGGAGGAGGAGGAGGGGGAGGATGGGGGAGGAGGGGGAGGGGGGGGGGAGGGGGAGGAGGCGGAGGAGCATCCTCACCCCGTCGAGGAAACAGTGGCACCGCTGGCCGACCTCCCCCCCCCAGGTGGGGAGATGTGCAGTCTCCCTGGAGCATCGCAGATCCCATCCCCACCCAGAGGGGAGAAAGCTGGGAGCGCTGCCTCACCCTGTCCTGGCGGGGGCTGGGACGGTTCTGACGGTGAGTAGGCCTCTGTCGTCGTCGCGGTCGCGACCATCGCGATTACGCTTGTCCTTTTGGCATGAAGGAACAGATGCGAAGGCGGGGACTTGTCCATATAAACCGCCTGGGAATCGAGTCCTGAGGACCCAGCTGTCGATGGATATGGACGTATTTTGGCCCCTGGGGGCCGAAATAGATCCATGTCCACCGCCCGTGGAGGCCCGCGAACATCGATCCTCCAGGCGGTGGTATGTATTACACCAGAGAAGAAACCAAATCAACCAGTGGATGGTTTGAAAATTCGTGATATGGATATTGAGATCGATTGTGAGATCGATAGTGAGACCGTTAGTGGGATCCATCGTATGGACGATAGTAAGGTCGATTGTGAGACCGATCGTGAGATCGCTCGTGCGATCTATAGTGGGATCGATTATGAGATCAATAGAGAAGTGGGTAATGAGATCGATGGTGAGTCCGATCGAAAAAGACATCAACCAAAAACCAGGGAACCTGGAAACCCGGGAACCCCGCCGCCCACCGAAGTCGGTCCGGAACCAACAACCGGGACCCTGGGAACCCGTAACCCGGAACCCCGGAGCCAGGCCGCCTACCGAGATCGGCCCGCAACTTTCGCCACATCTTTCAATGTCCGCCTGGTTTGACTACCTACCAGACCACCCCAATCCAACCCGAAGACCCGAATTTCGGGTTGGGGGGGTACGGGTTCCATATGCGTTTTTTCAATGTTCCTCGACCCCCCCCGACTGGAAATGGAGGGCAAATTGAGGCCTTCAGGTTGAGTTGGGGTGGTTTGGTGGGTGGTGATGATTGGGGAATCAATCCCCGCCTCGAAAAAAGGGTCCAAGGGAGAACAGGTTCTGGACCCCAGAGCCTCTCCCAGGACCAGGCCCTCATGGAGTCCCGAAACGGTGCAATGACAGACCGTGCGGTGACCTCGAAATCCCCCAAGACCTCAACCGCACGGCTTGTCACCGCACGGTCTTGGAACCCCCGAGGCCCCAATCGCCCGAGACGCCCTCGGAGCACGACCCGAGCCCCAAAACCGTGCACCGACCCCGAATCCCCACCGACTCACCGCACGGTGTGGTCACCACCCCGCCCTGGGGGGCCCCCGAGCCTCCCGAGCCGCCCTCCCACGGCCCCGGAGCCCGTGGACGGCCGCAGGGGCCCGACCACGGCGGAGCGCCCCCCGGGACCCGCTGGCCCTCGGGCACGCCCCCCCCCCTTCCCTCCCTCGCGACGAGGCCCCTGCGGTCCTCGGGCGCCTCGCCCTTCTTCGCCTCCTCCCTCCTCGCCTGCGCCTTCGTCAGCTGCCCGGAGGCCGCATCGAGCAGCTGCGCGAGCAGCGCCACCACGTCGCCGCCGCGCGCCTTGCGCGCCTCCTCGCCCTCCTCCGGGAGCGTCACGTCCTCCGGCAGGCTGCCGACGTCGGAGGGGCAAAGAGGGCAGCGCGTGCGCGTGCGGTGGGGGAGCTCCTGCGGGGCGTGTCGCGGCGGCGGCCCCCGCGGCACACGCCGTGCCTTGCGGGCTGGCGGCGTGTCCGTCTGCTTCGAGGGACAGGAGGCTCGGAGCGGCTCGGAACGCTGGTCCGAGGAAGAGAAAAGCATAAACAGAAGCTTTCGGCGGCCCGCGCGGATGTCTTGGATCGGCTCTGGACCAGGGAGGTCCGGTCCAGGGCCGATCCAAGAGATTCGCGCGGAGTTCCGACATTTTACGTTTATTCCGATGTTTCATATTCGATCTGCGTGCCGCGCCGAAGCCTTTCGGAGATCCGCGCGGAGGGGCGGCGACGGAGGCGCCGCCAGTGGGGGGAGGGTCCAGCGCCGATCCAAGACGTCCGCGCGGACCTCTGGAAGTGCACAGCGCGACAGAACCATAGGGATTACGCGGTAAGGATGCTCTAAAGACCTTGGACGACCAAGTGAAAGCCCTTCTGAGCGGAAGGTGGCCCGCGATGATGGACAAGGATGGGGCAAGAGATGCAAGGATGGAGGGGTGCCCCGCAAGGCTGGGGAGCCTTGCGACCCCGCCCGGCTGCATGCTCGTGCCGACGCTTGGCCCCTCCAGAAGCGCTTCACGTGGCTCCGGACCAGCTCCAGCACCTGTCGGGCCGGGCGAAAGGGGGGGCTATAGCGGCTATAGCAAAGGGGGGGACAGCAAACGTGGCTGATTTCCCGGGCGCCTCCCGGCGCCGGAGGCGGCTACGTATATCGAGGCATGGGCCCCTCGGTGGGGCCGAAACCAGCTGCATGCAGCAGATTTCGTACCCCCCCCCTGTCGGATCGGCGATCGAAATGAATGGGATCGGCGGAGATCGGCAGCCGAGTGGGGGAAAGTCGAATCGGCGGAAATCGGCGGGCTAGCAGGCCTCCAGTAGGGGGAATCGGAGCCCGAATCAAAATCCGAAGTCGAATCGAATCGGAATCGGAATCCATCGACACCGAATCGAATGGACTCGGAGGAACCGAAACGAGCCCTGCCTGGTGCAGCTCCTGCCGCTGCTCCTTCGCCACGGCCTGCAGTGCCTCGACGGCCTTGCCTCGCACCGGGCGCTCCGGGAAGTGCGCCTTCGGGCAGTCCTTCTCGGGTCGGGCGAAAGGGGGGGAAAGCAAAGGGGGGTTTGAGAATCAGCTCACGTAGCTGATTTTCCTGGCGCCTCCCGGCGCCAGGAGGCGCCCATGTATCGAAGAATGGGCCCCTCGGTGGGGCCGAAACCAGCTGCATGCAGCAAATTTCGTAACCCCCCCTTTCCCAATCCCCCCCTTTCGCCCGGCCCGATCCTTCGCGGCCAGCTCGCACGTGGCCAGCGTGCGGCGGTCGAGGGCCAGGCGGCGGAGCCTCTTCGAGCACGCGGCCTGCTCGGAGTCCCGCCACCTCCGCAGGCCCTCCTCGGGCGGCGGCGGCGTCCGAGCCCCGTCCCCCCCGGCCATCGACCCTCCTGGATCGATCTCCTCCTCCTCCTCCTCCTCCTCCTCCTCCTTTCCTCCTCCTTCCCCCCATCCAACTTATGGTGGCTCTCCTGGATCGATGGGAGGCGGGGGCAGGGCTCAGATTTCGCCACGTACTCGACGGCTTCCGAACCCTGTCCCCCAACGCCCATCGAGTTGCCTGAATCGTTGGTCGGCGAGGGTAGGGTTCGGATTTCGCTGCCGACTCTGGGGAACCCAAAAAGGTACCGATACCCGCACTCCCTGGACCTCCCCTGGGATGCGTTCTGACCAGAATTATTTTCGAGGCGAATCCAGCGGTGGTGACGAGAGCCTCCCAGGAGGCCCAACAGGACGAAAACGAGGCACGGGTATAGTACCGCTTCCTCCTCTGTCGGGGATCTACTGACCAAGGTCCATCCAAACCCGGATGAGTCAGGCTTTGCAAGATCCCGCAAGATCCCACAGGATCCAGGAGGATCCTGCACCCAAACCCGGGTCAATGCAGCCCTGGCTCCGGAGGATCCCGGACGATCCTGCGCTCTGACTGACCCCCGTCCTCCGCCGGCCAAAACACATACAGAACAGCCCAGGGCACTCTCCCCCAGGATGCACAAGAACGCGCAACAGACGCTGAAAACATTCGGGTACCCTCCCCAAACAGACCTCGATCTTATGCCTCGGACCCACCGTACTTCCTTTCCCCCCAGAGCCTAAGACACCCGCAGCGTCGGCCGACTGAAACTGAAACTGTTGGAATGGCGGGCCGTCGATCGACGGAGCCTACCACGAGTAGGGGACCATATGCGAACCCGACCCCTACCCCCCACGATTTTTGAGGGGGAGGGTGGGGTTCACTTCGTTCGGGAGCTCCCGAACGAAGTGAATCCCACCCTCCCACTCAGAAATCGTGGGGGGTAGGGGTCGGGTTCGCATGTGGCTCCCTACTTGCTCGCTTCGGATGCCCTGGCTGCTCACACGGAGCGGAACCACCCCAACGCACTGAGCGCTGTCGCGGAGAGGGGCAGGACCGCGAAGGGGGAGCTTCCAGACTCTGAGACTCCTTGAAGTGCCGGAAGGGGTCGTCGAGCCCACCTTCCCAATCGACGCCCTCTTCGTCGTCCAGGTCCGCGGCGTCGCCCGGCATGTTCGTGCTGAAGGCCGAGGGGCGGCGCGCCTGGCGGGGCGGGAGGGGCCAGCCCAGGATGCACGCTGTGCGCCAGATGGCCTGGCCCCAAATGGCTGCGGACGAGGACCCTTCCCTCCCCTCCTCCTCCTCCACCTCGTTCTCCTCCTCCTTCTCCTTCTCCTCCTCTTCCTCCTCCTCCTCCTCCTGCAACATAATCATCAGCATCACCATCACAATCAGCATCAGCATCAGCATCAGCATCAGCGTCAGCATCAGCATCATCATCATCAGCATCATCATCAGCATCATCAACAGCATCATCATCATCAACAGCATCATCCTCATCCTCCTCCGTCATCATCAGCATCACCATCAGCATCACCATCAGCATCATCATCAGCATCATCCTCATCCTCTCATGATCATCCTCATCCTCCTCCTCATCGAGTACCTATTTCAAGGGTGGGAGAGCCCAAGTGCCCCATCCGATTCAAAATGGTTATGCCTACCCTGAGGGCATTAGCGCTACACTGCCATCTTCCTCCTCCTCCTCCTCCTCCGCCCTCCTCCTCCTCCTCCTGCTCCTCTCAATTATTAGTATTCCTCTTATTATTATGTTTCGTAGTATCTTCTTTGTAATATCAGCATGATTGTTCTTACTGGTAGTATCATTCTTCGTTCGAATTACTAGTATCATCATTGCCAGTAGTCTTACCATTCATATGTATATTGCGAATATTCATATTGTTACTGTTATTACCCGTATACTAATCATTCGTATTCAGAGTATGCTTCTTCTGAGTATTATTAGTATTGTTCGTATCCTTATTATTCTTAGCATCAGTCTGTCTAATCTGGTTCGCCATATTATTGTTTTGTTCGTACTCGTCATTTGCTTAGTATTATTACTATGCTTCTTCATTGTAAGTCTCTCCTTTTCTTCCTCCTCCTCCTCTTCAATCAACCTCCTCCTCCTCTTACCCCTCATCATCATCATCATCATCATCATCATCATCATCATCATCATCATCATCATCATCATCATCATCATCATCATCCTCCTCATCCTCATCCTCATCTTCATCCTCCTCCTCATCGAGCACCTATTTCAAGAGTGGGAGAGTGCCCCATCCGATTCAAAAGGGTTATGCCTACCCTAAGAGCATCAGCACTACACTGTAATCCTCCTCATCCTCCTCCGCCCTCCTCCTCCGCCCTCCTCCTCCGCCCTCCTCCCCTCCTCCTCCTCCTCCTCCTCCTCCTCGCCCTCCTCCTCCTCCTCCTCCTGTTCCTCTACCTCTTCCTCTTCCTCATCCTCCTCCTCCTCCTCGGCCTCCGCTTCCGCCTCCGCCTCCTCCTCCTACTCCTCCGCCTCCTCCTCCTCGCATCGTCAGACCGGTAAGAGGCCCTGCAGAAACGCAACACGTGGACGGAGGAGACCGGTCAGGAGGAAGGACCGTCGGAGAAGCAGCGGGGAGCATATTAACAAGAAGAAACAAACAGAAGAAGGATGTCAGCCAGCGTGGACCCCAAGCATCGTTTTCCGAGCAGTAGACGTTGTGCAATCTAGGTGGAGCAACACAAGTGGAGCGATCTGAGTGGAGTAAGATGTGCGGTACCATTAAGCTGCGCAGTGTGTGTGGTGCAAACTATGTGGTGCAATACATAGTTTGCATTCTAGATTGCGAAAAGATGTGGTGCAATCGATGTGGTGCAAACTATGTGGTGCAATCTACGTGGTACGCAATACATGTGGTGCAGTCTCTGCGGTGCAATTGGTCTTTACCCATGCTTTGACACATCCCAAGCTCTTGCAAACATCCCACCCACCCACCCGCAACTTGGTTTGCAAAACCAATGCGGTGGCGATTGCGATGCATGCTCTGCATTGGCTGGTGCATCTCTGCGGCCGCGCCAACCCTAGCACGCGCGCGCAACGTTCAGCCAGTTTGGCGCCTCCGACCAGGCCGCGGTGGCGCTGACCGCTGGGCGCATCCCAGTGGGCACTTCACTGCGAGTCGGCGACTCGGGCGGGCGCGATATCATGGCAACGCCGGCTACGGTAGACGCGATGATGATACTAGCAATGCTGGTGACGATGTTCGCACCGACGAAGGCGCAGCCAGTGCGGGCGTAGATGCTGATCACGACGACAACGATGACGGCGTCCTCGCGTCGGCGACAAAGGTTTTGGAAAGAGTTCGACATGCGCGCGCGGCCGACGCGCGAGAGTGGCCAGCATGGTTTCTTTGACACGGATCGTGCCCCTCCAGCACGCGCGCAAGAGCGTGCGAATGAAGTCGGCATGCGGCGCCAGAGGCCCATTAGGCAGAATTCCATGCAGATATTGAAAAACCGATGGTTGTCTTAAGAATTCGCGAGAGCGCGCGCGCAAGCTTTTTGAAAACTGATGTTGCGGACCCTTATGTTTTTGAATACTGTTGTTGACATTCGGTTTTGAAATCCTTCCGGAACCGAAAAGGTGTTTGAAGGATGTCGACATGCGCGCGCGACGACGCGCGCGTGTGCACTTCGTCTCATTTTTTGGCAACAAATTCTCGCGACGGCACGCGCGCAAGGGCGTTCGAACGATCTCGACACGCGCGCGCGAAGCCCGTTCGGTAGCATGTTCTGCACATGTTGCAAAAAACGATGGTTTTCTGAGGACTTCGCAAGAGCGCGCGCACGCTTTTTTTGAACATCGATGTTGCGAAACCCTGTGTTTCTATATGTGTTCTGGACACTCGATGTCGAAATCCTTCCGGAACCGAAACGGTTTTTTAGAATTTCGGCATGCGCGCGACGACGCGCGCGTGTGCACATCGTATCATGTTTTGCAAGGGCTTCTTGAAAACTGATGATGTTTGATAAACGAATGCGCGCGCATAACAATGTTTTGCAATGGATGGCGGGGGGGGGGTCAATACCGGCTCGGGTGGGACGGCATGAAGTCAAAGTTACGATGGACGATCGGGCAGAATCTTATGAACATTACAATACGAAAAGTTGGACCAATAAACCCGGGGGGGGGGGGTAGAGTCTATTTTTTGGGGAAGGCGAATCTGTGCGGTGCAATCTGTTGTACAATCTGGGCGGCGGCGGCGGCGGGGGGGCGGCGACGGGGCCGCGGCGGCGAGCGTGGAGCCGCAGGACCGCCGCCCAGACCCGGACGACAAGCGGCCACGAGGCGGCGACGGAGCGGCGCCAGCGAGCAGAGAGCCGCCAAACCGCCACCCATAGGAAGGCACCAACTATACACCAACACCGATCCTGGCCAGGATCACCCTGGGCCCAGGATCGGTGTATACGCCCTCCTGCCTTGCGCAAGAAGGCATATACACCGATCCTGGGCCCAGGATGATCCTGGGCCAGGATCGGTGTTGGTGTATAGTTGGTGCCCTCCGAACCCAGGCCCAGTTCCTCGGACTAGATATGGAAACCCCTGAGTGCAAGCACGGTTTGGGGAACGAGGGGCAGAGAAAAGCCTGACCGCACAGGAGCGGGAAGCGCCGTTCTTGCTCGTAGCGGTGCTTGTCGTCAAAGCTCTGGACGCCAGCGTTCGTGCTGGGAGCTCTGGCGTTCGAAGCTGCCCACGTCATCGTTCGTAATGGAGCCTTGGGATGTCGTGGTCGGTCTCTCGTAGGCCTCTTAGAAGCAATTCTGAAGCCTCTTGGGGGCCGTTTTTTGGGGCCATCTTGGGGGCATCTTGGGGGCCTTTTTGGGGCCTCTTGGGGGGCTCCCGGGGGCCTCCTGGACCATCCGGGGGGGCACTTGGGGCCGAGGACCCGAAAAGTCCGTTCATGTACCTCGTCTGGGCCCCTCTAGGAGCCATATTGACGGCCTCTTGGGCCGCCGCGAAGCCTCTTGGGGCCGTCTTGGGGCCGCCGTGGGGCCTTCTGGTGCCTTCTTGGGGCCGTCTTGGGGGCCTCTTGGGCCGTCGTGAGGCGATCTTGGGGGCCCCTTGGGCCGTCTTGGGGCGATCTTGGGGGCCTCTTGGGCCGTCTTGGAGCGTCGGGAAACGGAAAAGGCGAGAACCCCAGAAACCTTCAAAAACTATTCAAAAATCATATATTTGTGCCTCTTTGGCGCTCTTGTGAGGCCTCTTCGAAGCCTCTTGAGGCGACTTGGAGGCCTCTTGAGGGCCTCCTGGGCCGTCTTGGAGCTCTCTTGGACCGTCTGGAAGCCATCTTAGGGCATCTTGGAACGCTCTAGGGCGGTTTTGGAGCGCTCTTGGGCCGTCTTGGAGCCCTGGTGGCCGTCTTGGGCGCGTCTTGGCCAGATTTTTTGAACGGAGTGACAATTTTTCCGCAATTTTCCGGAACCCGCCAGCGAGGTGCGGGATGCGATCGGTACCCTTTGGTTGGAGAAAATTAAGCCCCTGAACCAACGGTGCACGCCGTAGGCGCTTCCCGTCATACCCCTTAGTTAGAGAAAATTAAGCCCCTGAACCAACGGTGCACGCCGGAGGCGCTTCGACTTTGGGCCATCTTCGCTTCTCTTGGAGCGCTCTTGGGCTGTCTTGGGGCCTCTTGGGCGCCTCTGGGGCCGTCTTGGAACCTCTTGGAGCGCTCCGGGGCCGTCGTGGAGGTCTCTGGAGCCGTCCTGGGCCGAAAAAGCCGCCAACTCGGTCCCTGGAGGGTGTGTCTTCGGAGCCTTGGTGTGAAGCGCTTTTTACGTTGCCGCTCGCTCTGGGAGCCCTGGTGTCGAGAATTGTTCACGTCACCGTTCGCTCGTCGGAGCCTTGATGTCACGAGCTTGTCACGTCACCGGTCGCTCTTGGGAGCCTTGGTGTGGAGAGCTTTTTGCGTTACCGATCGCTCTATCATGTGGCGTCTATGGGCCTTCTTGGGGGTCCTTTTGGGGCCCTTTGGGGGCCCTCTTGGACTGTCTTGGGGCCCTCTTGGGCCGTCTTGGGGCCCTGTTGGGCCGTGTTGGAGACTGTTGGGCCGTGTTGGAGACTCTTGGACGCCTTTGGCCGTAACGGTGCACGCCGGAGGCGCTTCCCGTCATCCGCCAACGAGTTTCGGGATGGAGCCCGTACCTCTTAG